AGCTGTTCCAACTTCCTCTGAAGTACCATCTCTAGTGCGGCAACTTCAGATTGCAGAATGTCTGCCTCATCTTGATCAAAGACAGTTCTGTCATACTTGTTTTCAAGCAATGTCAGTGCGTCCGTTACGTAGGACCAATGACTTTTCATTATCGCCAGCTGCTTGACTAGTTCAATCTCACTTGAACTATCTAGGGTTTCGTAGATTAGGCTCATCTGTTGCCTCACCCTGTCCGCTCTTCTCTCCACCAGTTGAACCAAATTATCAACTGGACTGGAGCTCCGATCTGATGCGGTATCAGATAATTTTGATCCACTTAGTATATTTATTTCTTCAAGTGTTTCTACCTTTAATTGCGACTCCTTGTAGGCCTTGACAGCATCCATAGTTTTAATAAATATCTTATCATTAAAATATTGATGATCGCCAACTCCCAATTTTACCAGCGCATTGTTGTTAGTAATAAATCGGACTACCAATGCTTCTATTACTGGTATAGATGCCTTTTCCTTGATTGCATGCAGTATTTTATCCTGCAGCTCTCCTTGGTCTTGCATCAATTTCACAGATCTTTCCGACAACATCTTGGGAAAACAATCACTGTGACTTTTTTGTGCTTTCTGCTTGTATTCTTTGGCGTGATCCGCTGGAGGATTTTTTGATTGGTCGCCCAGTTGACCTAGCTGTGCCTCGCCTCACAGCTGATTGATCAGCCAAGGAAAAGCAAGAACACAATGTTTCACCTTATAGTCCTAGTACTTTAAGGCGTGGTCTTTTATTCTGTGTTTCTTACCACTGGTGGGTTTACAACAACAGAATCACTCGAATAACCTTGCTCTTTTTACTTTGAAGCGCTGGTTTTTTTTTTTTTTTTGTGTTTCTTACCACTGGTGGGGGAAAACAACAGAATTTCTCGAAGGACCAAAATGTTCACACTATAAACTAATGCGTACACTTAATGAGTTCAATTCGGGTGTTTGAATCTAACTGACTCGCTACTGCGAGGGCTTCGTCTTTTATTCATTCTTACATAGGTTCTTATTATCTAATTATATAATGCAGCGCTTGTAAGACGCTGCAGTCTGCGTTGGTCAATGCAGCTGAGATTTATCTTAAATCTATGTTTGTGGCATAGGCCGTCATAGGACGGCGCTAATCACCTACCGCGTGATCATATCTCTTGACACTTCGGCAATAGACCACTGCAATCGTACTTATCTGTAGTTGCCACTTATGCTGTCCCGTGACATGTTTATTGCAGCCCTTAAATAGAACATATTTATAGTTTGTCTACTTATCATGTCTAAACACATGTTTAGACACCCCTGCTGTGTAGTTTAATTTTTCCAGCAGCGGCACTATTTAGTTGACATTTTCAACTAGGATGGGGGGTGGCCGTCTGCTGCGGGGCACTACTTGCCAAGGGTGCAGGCTGTCGGCAGGACGCTGCGTGGGTGGGGAGACATTCCCAGATGGCGCCAGAGGGTCGCAGGCAGGAGCAACATTTTGGCATGGGGGTGCGGTGGGTGGGTGTTCCGGATTGGATCTGGTTTCCTCCACTACTGATCGCGCTGTTTTGCTTTTAAATACATGTGGAATAAGGGGAGGGAATTTACTAACAGACTTGGTAGTAGTAAGTCCACAGACCCTTTTGCTAGGCGTTTTAATATTTGAGTAGTCAAGGTCCCTATTTGTCCTTTTCCCGGGATTTTTCATTACAGGTGTTGTGCCGGTGTGTGGCATTTCACAGTGGTTGGTTCCAGCTAGAACTTGGGGAAACGCTTGTCTTCCTGGAAGTTTCTGCGGGCTGTGTGGTTTTTCTGTTTTAGACTTAGTTTAGAAATATCCGGTTTTGGATTTAAACTCGGCAAATAAGCGCTGCGAGTTGTAATTGTTTGTTGGATTTCCCCTTGATTTTTGTCCCTACTTTTGTCTAGTTGTATTTGTGAGGAGGTTTTCTCTTTATGGTCAATTATATTTGCTTTATTATAGCGTGCGTCTGTGTAGTTAAGAGAGGGACAATAAGAGTGGCTATCTAGGTTTGAGTTGGTAGCCATGTTTGTGTGTATATGTGTGTGAGAGTGAGGGGAAATATCGTGAGCGCCGATCTTGGTGGAAGTGCTGAGGTTTTTCTCCATGCTGTTGTCTCTGTGTGACAGTGTGGGGAATATCCCCCAAGCGTTGTACCTTAAGCCGCCTTTACCATCTGCATCCGTATTAGTTGCTGCGGCTGTATTAGTGAGAGGCAATGGCTGATAGGTTCTCTCTTCGGGCTACGTTCGTGGCAGTGTCGGTTTTGGGAGGGTTTTTTATGCTTTTAATTTTTGACCGCGAAAGCAATTTCTTTAGGTCTGAAATGGTGACGCTTATTTGGGAGTTTTCTGAGCCTTGTGACATTGGTGAGATATCAAGATAGAATGGGGTCGTACCCTGGCGTTTGTAGCGGGTCCTCGAGTTGAGTCGTCTCCGTTTTGTGTCGCCTCCCTGTCTCCTATGTAATTTCGCTGGTAGCAGTTTTCCTCTCTCTCCAGTTTATAGCACCTCTTCTCCTTTTAGTTATGTTGCAGCTTTCTTTTTTTATGTGGGTGATGCCGAATTTTCGCGGTTGAATTCTTTTGCGTTTGAGTGTTTGTGATAAGACTTTGACTGTTTTTCACATTTAAACTGGTTTATTTATTTAATTTAATTTATTTATTTTTTTATTTATTTATTAATTTATTTATTTATATTTTTTAACTTAGCATGGTGATAGTTTTTTAACTTTGCATTGTGGAGGTACGGAGCAGAATCAATTTATTCTGAACTGTATCCACAATTTATTTGCCTGTGATTAAAAAAACATGTAATATATAGGTACAAGAATTTACATAGTTGAGTTTAACATTGTGGAGGTGAGTTTTGGAGTTGGGCAATTATGTTAGTAAAAATGTGATTATGCTAGGTTATTGTTTGTACATTGGCGTAGATTGGTAACATTGTTTTGCTTGTTTGTTTGTTTACATTTCTAGGTTTACAAAAATTTACAAAGAGTTAACAATTTTGTTTTTGTTCATTACTTCAGACACCCCGCCTGAAGGACGGGAGCGCCTAGTCGCTGGTGGCTTCGTGGGTTATCGTCGGGGGAGAAATCTGCTTTCCTCGCCTTCGTCAGTCCTTGGATGCTGTCTGAGACTCCGCGTCCTGTGTTCACTTCGCCTGAAGTGGCTTTTTGGAGCCGCAGGCCCAGGCTCCGATGTCGTGGGCCGCCGCAGCAGTACTGGAGGGCCTGATTACTGCTGCCACGAGTTACCGCCACCGGCAACCTGTGGATCAGTCAGCGTTGCTGGCGGTGTGCTTGTGGGTGGGGAAACGTCTCCCCACAGTGAGTCTCTGAGCGCTGTCTGGGCCGCTGCATTACGTGGACGCTGCACCTGGAGCGGTAGCTTGGAGCCGCCAGGCCAGGAATTTGTTGACGTGGGCCGTCGCGTCGACAGGATATGAAATGCATAGAACATTGAGTGAGTATTATTTACAATAGATTGTGGGTGTCTTGATTATCGTTTTAAGTTCCTAATTCCTTTCCTTTTAGCAAGTGGTGGCTGTGCATATGAATTGGGTGTAGCCGTCACCCTGATCAAGGACATGGAAAGGATGAGCTTGGAATTAGATAAGTGGCTGATTATTTTTCTAATTTGTTTTTGACTGATTTGATTATTTTTTCTAGATATTCAGTCTTCATCCTGCAGTGGGAGCTCCAATTTCAGTGTGAGTCGAAATTTCTGCACTTGCTGGCAGTAGTAGGCCACCACTGTTTGCAGGTGTTTTGATTTATATTTTAATTTTTTGTTTTCTTTTCTTTTTAGGTCTACAGGAACTAATTATGATTTGGAATGATTTTAGCCTTGATGGAAGGATGTGCATGCAACCAATTTGGGTGAGTATTGTTTACGATTATTTGCGGGTGTGTTGATTATCGTTTTAAGTTAAGTTAATCAGAGGCAAAATAAATTGTGGAGGCTTGTGGCACACTTCAATCTGCTCCCACTTGTCCACCAGTAAAGTCAGCGAAAAAGGCTGGAATGCGGGATGAGTCAAGGGCAGCAAGGTCAAACAGGACAAGATCAACATTAGGATCTTGGACACCGGCAAAGCGGAGATACTGTGAATTAATCCACGCTTAGGCTTAGTCTCGAGGCGGCAAAGGGCACAGAGGTCGAACGTTAACGATGTGAACTTTGGACAAGCACAAAAAGGACGAACCGTGAACTAACGGGACATTTGAGCGCCTTGGGCCAGACCGGCCGTACGGAATATAGTACAATACCATTGTACTTCGATACCATTATTAACAACTTAGCGTAGTGTCTTTTTTATTGCTTTTAAAGCGATTATGGTATTCAAAAACAAGCTCAAGTCGGCAGGACCCTCTCTTACAGCTGTTTTATAAAGAACTGATATCACACCTGTGCAAGACTTTTTTAAAATTTCTGCAAAGTAAAATAAAGTAAATCTGGTTTATTGACTCAATGACTTCCTCAAAAGTACTAAGTACTTTTGAGAAATGTGTTTTTGGCCACAAAAATATACATTTTGTATATAGTTTAATGTATCACTTTATATGTACGTCCAGGCTCGTGGAGCTGTATGGAAGTTTGTAATGAAAATGTTCATATAATAAATATTGAGCGTTATATGCTTTTTACGGCATGAGTATGCAATTTGAGAAATCGAAAGTCGAAAACCAAAATGTGCTTATATCACACTCACTATAAGGATTCTATGCTTGGATCTGTACGATGGTCAGGTGGCTCCTTTCGGCTAGAAAAAATCTATCGTTAACGATAGATGCTTACGGCGTAGAACAACATTTTATTTCAAAATTAATTTTGCCGAAAACCCCGATTGTTCATGACATTGGGTGAATCTGGTCTTAAACCAATCCAGCACCTTTTTAGTCAATTTATACATCCAGTATTTATGTTAAGTTTTGTTTAAAGGACTAGTAAGCTGAGCATAAAAAATCAACCCAAAGCTCTTTTAGCTTTTAAGAATTTTAATATAGAACTTGTAAATATTACTTCAGTAATGATTCCAGCACACTTTTTGACCACAACCAGTGTCGAAGATAATTCTAAAGTTGCAGTGATACTTGGTGGCAATAAGAGTTCACCATGTGGAGAAAAGGCTTTGCTAATGGCCCCAAAAGTGAGGCTCAGTAGTGGTCACGAAATGCCTGTCTTGGGATTTGGAACTTACAAGGCAATATTTATTTATTACTATTCTTTTTGATTAATCACAAAACTTACTACTTTTTTACAGCTTCGGGGATACCAGTGCTCTAAAGCGGTTCATTGTGCCATTGAGACTGGTTTTCGACATTTCGATACTGCATATTATTATGAGAACGAGAAAGAGGTTGGGGAAGCTCTTCGCACTCAAGTTAAAATGGGAAATATATCCAGAGAGAATATATTTTTGACAACCAAGGTAACTCGTACATTTATTATTGCACAAGAAATTACAAAGAAATTTTTGTAGCTATGGAATACTCACCATGATCCAAGAGATGTCCGCCGTATATGCCAAAAACAACTTGAGTTGCTCGGCTTTAGTTACATTGATTTATATCTAATGCATTTTCCAGTGGGCTACAGACACGTGTGCGATGAAATTCTCAGGCCAATGTCAGGTGATCAAATACAAACTGTGTAAGTATGTATTACAAATATGGGAAAAATATGAAGGTACTTATTCCTTATGTAAAGTGAAATCGACTATTTAGATACTTGGCGAGCAATGGAAGAACTAGTTAAACTGGGAATGGTTCGCAGTATTGGGTTATCAAACTTCAATATGGAACAGATTCAACGGTTAATTCAGTGTAGCTCATCTAAGCCAGTAGTTAATCAAGTTGAGATCTGGCCAGGCTTTTTACAAAAGGATTTGGTTGATTATTGCCGCTATAACGGAATTATTGTGACAGCCTTTTCACCTCTTGGTCAACCAAACCGAGAAAATCATTGCCCAGTGTATTTCTTTTCGGAAGGTATGAAACGATTAGTTAAGAAGTACAAGCGTTCTGCGGGACAAATTGTCCTTAGATATTTGGTAGTATTTATAATTTAATATGTCTTAATCACTATTATTAAAAGCGCTGTTTTTGTAGATTGATTACGGAGTAGTTCCAATACCAAAAGCTGCAAACCCCTTACATATAAAAGAAAACTTAAATATTTTTGATTTTAAACTAGATGATGCGGATACTCGGTTACTGCGTGGTATAAAACCTAAGGGCCGAATAGTAAAATACGAAATTGTCAAAGATCATATGTTCTACCCCTTTGAACTTTTAAATGAAAACAGTGAAAAGTCTGAAACTAAAGTGGCTCAGATTGAAGAAACGAAATTGCCCTACAATTTTAATGAAGACGATGAAGAAAAGGAAGATAATGCGAATGATGAATGAAAAATTAGCTTAAATTAAAACTTGAAAAATACATATAAGCATGTAGTGATAAGTCGATAAAACTAGTTTTTTTTTTAATATTTTTATCGACTGCTGCCACTATCAATTTATTGTTTCTTGATTTTTTAAAAATATATAGATACAATTTTTTGCAATTTAAATTTTTCGGATTTCTGGCAGCAGTTATGCATGCCCTAATTTTAAGTAACATAACGTGATTTACAGTAAAAATTTTAGTATTGAGAAGAGAGGAAACAGAGTATTTACAAATTATAAGTATTTTATTAAGCATAAGCGTGTTGTACAGCGTTGAGACGTACTTAGGTGGCGGCGACGACGAGCTGCTTCCGTCGTCCGATGAGATGGATAAGACCGATGCGCATCCTCCGCTTGAGTTCTGGCAGTCCATTTTGCTGTGTTTTTGATTTTCTATTCCTTTGGTACGCACTGTGCATGCTCCTTTATCTGATTTTTATTTGGAACTGACTTGCAGTTCTGAATTGGGAAAGTAAGAGGGTTATTGATCTTAGATAGACGACGCAGCTGCTATTCGATTTGCTAGTATTATTCCTGCCAGATGATTATCGGGTTTGTTCTGGCATTAATACTAGAAGTCAATAGAGTACTTCTAATCGGTATATTGGGCTTATTAAAGAGTCGATAGTAAGGCAATTTTGCTTAGTATTTTTAGTATGTATGGCTATTAATATTCGATAAGTCAAAAAGAACGCAGCCGGTAATCAATTTGCTGGTATTTTTCCCGCCAGATGATTATCGGGTTGTTTTAGTATTTATACTAGAATTCAATACTGCAATTTTTTGTCTCATTAGGTAATCGATAGTAGCGCAAATTTTAGTATGTGTTTATCGGAGTGTGTATTTATCGGTAGTGATAAAATGGTCTGGTCTAATTTTAATTTCTGGAAACAGCAAGACTCGCTTTGGAGAAGAAAAATAAACTCACGTGTCAATTTGTAATTGTGAATTGTGATATTGTGTGTTGCCAATTCTTGTTGCCAGTGTTGATGTCCACTCGTTGCTGCGGGGATGCCAACATATCGTAGCCTTGGTCAGTCCGAGCCCGCCTAATTTGATGCACGCGGTCCAAGTCCAGGTGAGGAAAATGTGACGCACAGCCCCATAACATCCGGAGAAGCGTAAGTGCGTCGAATATATGGTCAGGTGAGGTTAACATCAAACAAGCCAGTTTGCCAGCAAAGCACTTCATGAGACAACAATCTGTGAGGAAAAGGAAAACTAATGCATGTTTCTTTCCTTTAGGGTAAAGCGCCGGTGTTTCTTGGTCCAGGATGATTGACCTGGAGCGAGGAACAGCCATCAGCAGGTTGTCCACAAAAACAAACGGCCGGAGGAGAAAAAAGTTGCAGCATCACCATCGCCTCCTCCAAGGGACCTATCCGTCTGTAAGCTGCCGTCCCGCAGGTGCGCTGAGTTACTTTTTGCACTATTTATGTGACAAAGACCCGCGATGGAGGAATACCACAGTTTCCACATGCCGATTTTTTTAACTTTGCATGGTGAAGGTACGGAGCAGAATGATTTCTGGACCGTATCCACAATTTATTTTGCCTCTGATTACAATGTTTTGTGATATATAGGTACAAGTATTTACATTTTTGAGTTTAACATTGTGGAGGTGAGTTTTGGAGTAGGACAATAATGTTAGTGAAAAGTAAGTATGCTAGGTTAGTATTTTCTTCTGCTTGTACATTGGCGTGAGTTGGTAACATTTTAGTTTTGCTTGTTTGTTTACATTTTGAGTTTTGCAAAGAATTTACAAAGATTTAACAATTGTGTTTTTGTTTATTATTTCAGGTACCCCCGCCTGAAGGAGAGTTTTCCTGTGGCAACTTGGAGCCGCCAGACCAGGTCCCCACAGTGAGTCCCTGAGCGCTGTCTGGGCCGCTGCATTACGTGGCCGCCGCGCGCCGCGCCGGGTGCGGTAGCTTGGAGCCGCCAGACCACGAATTAGTTGACGTTGGCCGCCGCGTCGACAGAATATGGAAGTGAATGCAAACAAATTGGGTGAGTATTATTTATAATTATTTGCGGGTGTTTTGATTATCGTTTTAAATTTCTTTCTTTTTAGCAAGTGGTGGCTGTGCATAGGAATTGAATGTAGTAATCACACCGCCCAAGGCCGTGGAAAGGATGAGCTTGGAATTAGAGAAGTGGCTGTTATTTTCCTAATTTGTTTTTTGACTAATTTGAGTATTTTAGATACTCAATCTCCATCCTGTGGCAAGGAAGTCGGCCTGGGTGGGTCCCCTGCAGCATGCTGTCGCCAGGATGCAGCGGTCTGATCGAGCAGGGCCCGGCGAGCAGATCTGCAGTGGGAGCTCCACTTTCAGTGTAAGTAGTAGAGGCAGTAGTCAGTATTAAGATTTAGTTTTTAATTTATTTTCTTTTCTTTTGGGTGGCTGATATTTTTGGTGAGAATTTTAATTCAGCTTAATGGGTCACAAAGCTCATTCTATTTTTGCAGGACGGGAGTTTACCGGCCAATAGTGCGCTGGGTATAGTCAATAACGTGTGAGAGAAATCGCCGAGATGGTTTAAGGACTCTTGGGATTGTCTATCAGCAGAGGTTTCAGGTAGAGGATTATGAAATTACGGGTGTTTTGAGTTATATATTGATTTTTGTTTTCATTAATTTTCAGGTTTAGTTGCAAGGAGCAGACTGCTGCAGTCAAGATGCCCAATCTTGGGAGAACAGGGCCGGGCTAGGGCCTTGTCTTGTAACGCCGTGTCAAATGGGAGTAGAGCAGCAGTCGCGTTCGTCTGGATTGTTAACTTTAAGTATTTTGTTTTATAATTTAAATCCCCTCCTTTGTATGAATTAAGTTGTTTGAGAAACTTTGTTAAATATATGTAAGTTGCTGTTAATTTGTTATTTAGTGTTTATTTTTATACCTCCGTGATCTTGGTTGTCCATTAGAATGTCTAATTTCTTTTCTAAATTTTCTACGCGATTTGTTAGTGTAGTAAGTGATTGCACGTCCATGGGGGTGAGGGTGGGGGTATTTGTATCTTCTGCTATAATTCTGGGCTTTAGTTGAGCTCTAGACGCTAGGCTGGTGGTAGGTGGGCTTTCTTGGTTGGGAAAAGTCCGTTTGATCGGCAGATCCTGTGCCTCGTTAATTTTCCTATTGATTTGAGGTTCTTTTGGAATTTGGCCAAGTGTATGGCGGCCATGTTTTTGTTTGGCTGTTGCGGCTTTGAGTTGTCTTTTTTCCCTCCTTTGCCGGTGTTTTTTCGCCACCGATTTAGCCTTTTTTGTATGGCCGCGTCGTGAGTGGAGATTCTGGGCTGGTAGGGCCTCGCGTCCTTGTTACTGGCACAATTTCCACAATTTATTTGCCTTTGATTACATAGGTATAGGTACAAGTATTTACATTTTTGAATTTAACATTGTGGAGGTGAGTTTTGGAGTTGGACAATAATGTTAGTGAAAAGTAAGTATGCTAGGTCAGTATTTTCTTCTGCTTGTACATTGGCGTGAGTTGGTAACATTTTAGTTTTGCTTGTTTGTTTACATTTTAAGATATGCAAAGAATTTACAAAGATTTAACAATTGTGTTTTTTGTTTATTATTTCAGGTACCCCCGCCTGAAGGACGGGAGCGCCGAGTCGCTGATGGATTCCTGGGTCGTCGCCGGAAGTAACAGCTGCTTCCCACGCCTCCGTCAATCCCTGGGTAAGTCCGAGGTTCCGCGTCCAGTTCCACTTCGGACTGAAGTGGCTTCTTGGAGCCTCAGGCCCAGGTTCCGAAGTCGTGGGTCGTCGCAGCAGCACTGGATGGCCTGGTTCCTGTTGCCACGAGTTGCCGCCTCCGGCAACCTGTGGATCAGTCGGTGTTGCTGGCGGTGCCTGTGGGTGGGGAAACGTCTCCCCACAGTGAGTCCCTGAGCGCTGTCTGGGCCGCTGCATTTCTGGCCGCCGCACCTGTAGCGGCAGCTTGGAGCCTCTAGGCCGGGAAATGCATGCAGACAAGTTGGGTGAGTATTATTTGATATTATTTGCGGGTGTTTTGCTTGTTGTTTTAATTTTCTTTCTTTTTAGCAAACGGTGTCTGTGCATAGGAATGTAGTCGTCACATCGTCCAAGGTCGTGGAAAGGATGAGTTTGGGATTAGATAAGTGGCTAATATGTATCTAGTTTATTTGTTGACTGATTTGAGTTGTTTTTTTCTAGTATTTCAGTCCTCGTCGTGGCAGGGAATGCGACCTGGGTGAGTCCCTTGCAGGAAGCTGTCGCCAGGCTGCCGCGACGAATCGAGCAGAGCCCGGCAAGCAGATCGTGCGGAGGGAGCTCCAATTTTATTGTAAGTAGGAATTTCTGCGCTTGCTGGTAGTATTCCAGGTGTTTGCCGCCAGCAAGACACGGCTGCAGGGTTTTAATTTATATTTTAATTATTTGTTTTATTTCTTTTCAAGTCTGCAGGAGGTGGAGATGGCTTTTGTCTTGGAAATTTTTTTTGCCCTGATGGATGGGTGTGCGTGCAACCAATTTGGGTGAGTATTATTTACAATAATTTATGGGTATCATGATTATCATTGTATGCTATAATTTTCTTTCTTTTTAGGAAGTGGAGGCTGTGCATAGGAGTTGGATGCAGACGACACATCGCTTAAGGACAAGAAAAGGATGAGCCTAAAATTAGTTAAGTGGCTGTTATTTGAGTATTTTTTAGATACTCAATCTCCATCCTGTGGCAAGGAAGTCGGAATGGGTGGGTCCCCTGCAGAATGCTGTTGCCAGGATGCAGCGGGCTGATCGAGCATGGCCCGGCGAGCAGATCTACAGTGGAAGCTCCACTTTCATGTAAGTGGTAAAATTTCTGCATTTGCATTGGCAGTCAATGTTGTTTTGCCTCATCAAGACTCAGCTGCAGGGTTGGTTTAGAACCCTTCTTAGTGTCTTGGGGCAAGTTTTCAGTAAGGCCCCCTTTATTTTGCAGGTGTTTTGATTTGGGTTTTAATTTATTTTCTTTTCTTTTCAGGTCCACATGGCAGGGAGGTGCAGAATGGGTGGCTG